AAGGCTGAAATTTATTTCTCACTATGCTCTTTAGCAGTCCATGTATCCAATCTAAGTCATATTTAAGAAAATACTAGGCCAAGAAAGGCAATTCTCAAGTTAAAGCTAAAGCAAGTGAGTAACCCATACAGACTTGGGAACAGAAGAGGTCTATAAAAATAAAAGAATGGCAAAATTAACATACTGCATGTCTTGCCTAATATTCTCCATATGTAGTTACTCCTGAAAAACAACAACAATTCCTCTCTAAAAAATGTCAGGTTCAACTCATTTTTGACAATCATTCTTTATTTCTTGAACTCTTTGGATTTGAAAATCTTTCTGGAACATCCTCCCGTGATGCCGACCAGATGTGTACATGTTCATGACATTCCACAGCCTTGTATTCTTTTTGGAAAACACAATTTCTTAGACTATGCAGTTCTCACATACTATATTTATGTAGATTTCTTTTTTCTAAAATTCCCTATTGACAAGCCATTTGGTTTCAGAAGCCATAATGCTTCACTGCTCTTACCAAGTTTTATGGACTTCAAAGTGTGAACTACATATGACTTATGACTCTTGTTGAGAACCACTGAAAATAGTTGTAGACCATCACATAGCTTCACTTCATCCTTTATTTGATTCTAAGACTTCTTATTCAAAATATCAAGGGGGAAAACAAACCTCTCAGTTCTGCAAAGACTGTGAAAATTTCTTTAAGTGGATACAAAGTTGGATGATAGTGAGGTTTCCTTGTAATATCAAGAACCAGGGTCATTGGAATTGCCTACTACATAGAGCATAGGAAAACAGTTGGAAAAGTTTCTCTCATTGAACAGCTTATAAACTTTTAGTAGGGGAAAAAATAAATACTTCCTCTATCTCACCACAGGTAAATTGCTAGAAGTGATTAACATATTAACAAATATAAAACATAGTTTAGCTTTCAGCATATACTAATGCATTTGTTAGTGATCTTTGAAAGCACTTATCATCACTGTAGCAATCTCTCTCACCAAGCCGTGGACAGGAGTCTTTCATGAAACTGTCACAGTCTACACATAAACTACTCTTGTACTCTTTGTAGGAACCACAAGGAAAGGAAATAAAATTGCAGTCTGTTTCCAAAGCAGCCAAGAACAGATGAACTGCTCTCTGGTGGTCACATTTAAGATACTCCACTCCTTTGGGATGAAAATAAAAAGCACAATAATTGTAGTTATATTAAAGGGAGTTCAAGTAGAAGATTAAGTTCTACTTTCCTAAGTATAACTTATAGAAGTATTGACTATAACAAAAAGTTCTACTTCAAGCATAACTTATAGAAGTATTGACTACAACACAAAGTTCTACCTCAAGCCACCCAGTAAAAACCCTTGAGTTTAACATGAGATTAATATTACATTTTGGAAAGCAATAAACAACATAGAAAGTATATTTTAATATTATATATTTATATATAAATATATATATAATTTATATTTATATATATATAAATTATATATATAAATATATATATTATATATATAAAATATATAAATTTATATATTTTAATTTTAGTAACAGAAGTGCTGGGGTATTTATTAACTAACCCAGTTACAAATTTCTCCCTTCTAATTTAATCTTCCCACTTAAGATTTCCATCATTTGTCACTAGTGACTATAAATGAGCTACATTTTAACTTTATGATCTCCCTTTCCTTTCGTAGCTCCTCACAGCCTTGTTGTTTTGACTAAACTTCTCTAAGCTGCAATTTTTGAACATGGGCAACCTGAGCAGATGCCACTGTGAACCAAATCACCAAGTTTGTAGTAGTTCTCCATCTGTCCATGGACAGAGCAACCAAGTGCCAAGCAGTTTATAAATATGCTAATCTGGTATTGTGCTGAGAGTAAATGTTAAATTTATTGTTAAATGTTAAAAGTCTCCTGACTTTACTGATTGTGTTTCCTCGATGATTTCAAATGTCTCCTAATGTTTGTAATGATGAAATAAGTTCATTGGAACTCAAACCTAACAGGTCATATCATGGTGAAATGTTATATCCATGTTATGAATTAAGAAAGCTTGAATTAACCCTTTCTTTGACAAACTCTCCTCAACCATGGACCAAGATGAATCAAATGTACAGCATTTGAAAATAGGATTCGCATACCTGAGAAGATTGATTTAGGACAGCCGGGTTGTTTTTTTCCTCCATTTGGATAAAAATCTATATGACCTAATGGCTCTTGAATTCCTAAACCTAAGAAGAATAAGTGGGGAGGGAGAAAGAAAGGAAGGAGGAGCAAGAGGAGGAGAAGGTGGTGGAAGGGGAGAGGTGGGGGAGGAGAGGTAGCCAAGAATCACAAAGTGTACATTATTATGTCAGCAGCAATAATAAAAGTAGGTGTATAAAATTCATTGAAAATTAATCTTTAAATTTTATAAATTAAAATAAAAGCTACTTTAAGTTGCATATTTTACTCATTGTTAAGCTAATTCTTTGAGAAATGAGTAAAAAAAAACAAACAAAAACAGGAACCTAGAAAAATCACTAAGCGTAGGAAAGAAACATGACAGCCAATGACTGTCAAGAGCAAGAACAGAAAGAATTCTCTGTGTCTTGTGTAAAATTTCAGTGTCTATGATCATATGGCCTTTTTGGAACTTGATTAAAGCAAACTGAAGGCCCAATGTATCAGGAATAGTGTACAGCCTCATTAAGAAAGATCTTTCTCTTCTTAGAACCCCTATTCCCTCAAGGTCTATAGTTAATTTTTCAGTTTTTTTGTTGTTGCTGTTGTTGGTCCTGGGGCTTGAACTCTGAGCCTGGGTGCGGTCCCACAGCAATTCAGCTCAAGGCGAGCACTCTACCACTTGAGCCACAGCACCACTCCCAGTTTTCTAGTAGTTTATTGGAGATAAGAGTCTCACGGACTTTCCTTCCTAGCTGGCTTTGAACTTCTATCCTCAGATCTCAACCTCCTGAGTAGTTAGAATTACAGGCGTGATTACAATTTTTCACTTTTCAATAACTGAGCCAATTATTTGCTGTGTTACCTTTCGCATCAGAATGAATGACATCCACAAACTTGGCATCAGTGTAATCTAATCTGCTATTTGGTGGTTTTCCAGAAAATTTTGGGCCAGCAGGGTCAAGACCTGAAGCGAGAAAAAAAGGAAATTACTAATGTAATGAAGACTCATTTTATGGTACACTTGCATTAATATTACATTTAAAATATACACATATTTACACATATGCATGCACACATACAAGCCCATATTCATAAAGATCACCACACACACATAGGTAAATTAAATTTGAAAATAGAAGATTTTTTTCATTATTTGAATGTTCAAAGGCTAGAGAATTTAACCATAGTAGAAAGACCTTAACAAGACATTATAAAGTATTTTAGAGTTTTAAGTAGTAATTACTAGTAAACTATAATGAGTTTGTGCTTAATGAAACTTCTCTTACAGAAAACACAAAACCAAACCAAAAATATCACAATAAATAACACTTGGTCCTCCGTTACTCTGTGCTTTATTAGTTCATTCTGGATTGGCCTAAAAGGTCTTTTAGATGTTAAAAGCTATTTGAGTTGTGGCATAAGACATAAGTGTATTATCATTTGTTTCTCACAAGACTTCTCCAAATACTGTAATGAAAATAACATGGGCTTAAAATTCTATGGATTTGGGATATTTATTTCTGCAGTATCTTACAATATAAATAATGAATATATAGTAAGTGTCATGTCCATGAACTTGTCAAGACTATTAAAACATGTAGAGAGGAGATAATATTCAGATTCTTCAAAATGTCTATAAAATTGAAGAAAAATTATTTTTAAATTACTGTAAAACTTAATCTTGTTCTTCTTACAACCTTCTTGTTTTATGTAGTCATTTGACTGAGCAGCTCATTTATTTCTTTTCCTTTCCTATGAATCAGTCTAATACAAAACCTTTAAACCCTAATTTTTGCCTATTTTATTAAAAGATTACATTAGACTAAAAATTGTGTGAACATACTTTCTTATATAACTTGCTCTTTTTCCCTTTTTTGAAAGCTAACTAAAGATTCTATTACATTTTTGTTAATACTTGACATTATAAACAAATCTTCCAAGAATGTAGATATGAAGAATTCCTTAAAAACCATAAAATATTTGGAGAATGATAGTATTCTACTGATAAAAGTTACCACCATGACTAGAAGAAAGAATAAAAAACACCATGGTGGTTTGATTTGGCTAATGAATATTCTCAAGAATAACTTTTCCATAATAATAGGGGAAATTAGGATTCGAAGTTCCTTAAAAATTAGATGCAAACTCCTGCTTCTTCTAACACTAGAGAAAAATGTTTAAAAGTCTTAAAATACCTCAAAGGTTGTGAAAAATAAATGCACAGCTCTAATTTTAGCCAACAAATAAAAAATAATTTAGCAGCCAGGCTTTCTTGTAGTGATTACAGCAATGTACCCATACATTCTAGGTAGGCCTTCAAAGGTAGCTCATTTCCACATGCTCATTCAGCATTTAGAACCCAAAAGACTAGACTCTAACTAAAATAAGGGTTGTTATCTGAATATAACATAAGAAAAACTGAATGTTCACAAAATATCTATTGTTAATTGGAGAATCTATACATTTTAAATAAAATAACATCTGATATTTAGAAATGATTTTACCTGTTATTCTTCCAAGTTGGCCATGAAACATCTTGCCAACAAAGCCACTAATATGAGCTCCTAAGCTCATTCCTATGAGATGAAAATTATCAAGAGATGCCCCATGCTTCTGTAATGGAAAGAGGTTCATTATTTTCATTTAGGGGTAATCACAAGTCATGTCTCATACATCAACACTCTACAACTCATTATTTTTTTCTGTTTTAATCCACTTCTGGATAAAGTGAAGGGGACCTCACAATTCTGTTTTTTTTTTTTTGTTTGTCGTGGGGCTTGAACTCTGGGCCTGAGCACTGTCCCTCAGCTCTTCAGCTCAAGGCTAGCACTCTACCACTTGAGCTACAGCGCCACTTCTGGTTTTCTGGTGGTTTATTGGTGATAAGAGTTTCACAGACTTCTTGCCCAGGCTGGCTTTGAACTGTGATCCCCAGTTCTCAGCCTCCTGAGTAGCTAGGATTACAGGAGTGAGCCACCCGCGCCCGGCTTGAAATAATTTTATCTTTGTCCAACATGTGCCACAAGACTTGTGATTTGTCTCTATTCATTTATAATAATATCATTCATCTTTCATTTAAAAACTCTGAAACACTTGTTATTGCAGAATGGCATATGCAAAATGCCATTTAATCATTTAATTTTCAATGTATGTAATGATAATAATATAAATTGCTAGATTCTTAGTGTACATTATAATCTTATTATTACTATTATGATAGACATTGTTAGATTATTAATTGGCATTATTAGATACTTATATTTTGATAGGTACTTTGATACATGCTCTTAAATGTCTCATTTAATATTACTGCTTTATCTATAAATCATTTACTTTGATTATATTTTCCAAAATTGAGCAGGGAACTTATTAAACACTAAATAAGACTTCCAATGATTTCCTACTTTACTAATACAAAAGGCTCACATATTAAAGGCTTCTCCAAAGCCACATATAACTTAAGAGAATTTTCAAATGGCTATTGTCCTAATATATTTGTTCTCCAAAAGTTAGTATGTTGAAATCTTAGCCCTTAAAATGATGGCATATGGAGAAGGTGAGCCATGAGTTTAGAGTATCCAAGTATGGGAGTCATGCCTGATAAAAGATAGTTGTGGGAGCGCATCTGCTCCCTACCACATGTAAGGACACATGAGAAGACATCATCTATGAATCAGCAAGTAGACAGTCAGCAAGCCCAACTTCTTTCAGATCTTTGCTCTTGAATTTCTCAGCCAACTGAACTGTGAGAAATAACTTTCCGTTCAGTATTATTTTGTTATACCAGCTTAAATGGATAGACACAGGTCAGATCAGTTTGATTATGTATGTTAATCTGCCTGTCTTGTTGTATGACCATATTGTATCAAAAATCACAGGAAAATTAGGAAAATATATAAATCATTTTTTACTTCAGAAATAATGATGATGATGATGGTGATGATGATGATGATGATGGATTTTAAGGGATATTTTCCTTATCAAAATGGACTGTGATGGACTCAAATTTAAGTTTCAGTATTTCATTAGGCTCACAAAAGAGGCAGAAGGTAGTAGAGGAGAATTATAAGAAGAACACAGTCATGCCTATGTAATGCCATGGCAGAGGGCTTATTGGAAGATGTGAAACATTTCATATGATTGGAAAACTGGAATTAGAAACTTTCTACATAAACTTCCCCTCAAATCTGAGGAACTGTTTCTGCAAACTTCAGTGCTACTGATCTTTCTATCCTTTCCCCTTAATAAAAGTACTTTCCAAACAAAAGGAGAATCGTATCTAATGCTGTATTTCCTTAATTTCTCTACTTAACTCTCACACTTTCTACAAATTGGCATAAATTTCTATTACAGACAATTTTATTCCAAAAATAATCAACTATCACAATTTCATAGACTACCAATAAGAATGCATCTCCTCTGCCTTTCCAAAGATGATATGCTTTTCTACAGTGTTGGAGACAGGAAAAAGATAATAAAAGTTGGATTATTCAATAATTACTAAGCCTTACCCACTGGCTCATCATATACACACATACACATAGATTTAATATTTATACTATATTCCCAACAAACATCATTATAAAGTTTTTATCACAAATGTCATGAAATATAGTATATAGATATTAAGTAAGATGATAGTAGGTGACTCTGGTTCTGAACCCATCCTAAGCACTGTATGTGCCTACTTCTTGGATTTGCTATCCTCCCTGAAGATCAGCATAGTTTTGGAATTTCAGAACACAGTTCAAGTGTCCATTTCAAGCCCATGGAACATTCTTTTTCTCTAATTACTCATATGTATTAGGACAGACATGAATATCCATAAGCATAAACTTAGTAACCAAGAGTCACTGAAACTACAGATGACATAGAACTTGCCTCAGATTATTTGATCCACTTCAACCCTGAATGGAACTGGCCTTTGAGTTTGGCAGAAGTAGCTACTTTCCCCTTCATTTTATGACAACTCACTTCATTAAATACAAACATGCCAGCCATGTCTTTAGAAGAGTTATATAAATAATGAAATGATTAGCCAAGTGTAGTGTCTCATAAACATAATCCTAGTTGTGTATAAAGTTCAGATTGGGAGGATTCTGGTTGGAAGCTAACTGAGGCAAAAAAAAAAAAAAGCATGCATGAGATGACTAAAAAGCTCAACCAATAGAAAGATGGCGTTCTAGGTATAAAGGACACATTAATAGGAGGATTGTGAAAAAAAAAACAATACAGTCTCAGAAAAAGCCATTCTGATCAGAGGCTTAAGTGGTATAGTGTGTGCCTAGCAAGTACAGCCCTGAGTTCAAACCCCAGTACCATCAATAAAGCAAGAGAAATAAAGAAATAATTATACAGATTGTCCTCCTGTCTCACTCTATACAAATACCACTTTATTCTTGGTTCAATATGGGAGACTTAAAAAGAATTTATGAATTCTAACAATATTTTAAATAAAAGAGAGTAATAACAATAACTGGAATTTTAAGATAATTAAAAAATGAGATGGGATATTCAGGTACATAGCTATCATTTGAAGCAAGAAAACAAAACTGTACAAAGCAGCATATTAAAGTAATAATGCTAAATACTACAAAAAGTGATCAAATGTATCACCACGTTGGTGTATAGTATAACATTTCTTACATAACAAATACAATACATAAAAATTCCAGACTTACTAAAAGATTTAGAATGGATTCACTCAAACTCTCAGCAACTTTTCTGGTGTTTTTTACTGCTCGATTGTAAATAAAAGTTGTAGCACCCTGGTTCCAGTCCACAACAATTACATTAGCATCTTCTTCATTCAACAAAATCCTCAGAAACTTTTGAAGCCATGATGGGGTAGAGCCCAGCGGTCTGTATCCATGAATGATCCAAACTGTTTTCTTTTGTATGTTGAAATTAATGTTAAGTGAATTATTATGCTCAAAAAGTGGTTCTGCGCATTTCAGATTGTTCCTTGTATACATCATCAGAATGATTTTTATTTTGGGAACAAACAGATCTTTTAAAGAATCCTTTACATTTAGGTTGGAGAATTCAAGGCATGGTCTTTTATTTTCTGAAATCAGAAAAAAAGTCAAATAAATATGAAGATAATATTGGATCCTTGATGCTGTTACAAGTATAGATGTGAACTTGAGAGATAGAGGGTTTCACTTCATTATCACTTTCATATCACTCACTGAGTAACTTCAATACAAGGCTTAGGATAAAAGGCTTGATGAACTAGAAATAATTTTTAAAAATAAGTGAAAAATAAAAACATTAATAAATGCACAAGATCTTTTTTAATCTGACCAAAACAGAAAGTAGCAATGGGGCTCCTAACAAATAGAACGGTAAAACAAGGCACTCTATACAACATTTCTCATGAGTCAATTGCAAAAATATCCAAATACACTTATCAAAAATGAAAACCTAATCTTATTTGTAAACAACAACAAAAATTTCACACTTTCAAAAAGCCATTTTCTTTTCTTTTTTTAATATTTAATTGGGGCAATATTGAGGTTTGAACTCTGGGCCTTTTTCTTGCCAGATAGCTGGTTCTACCACTTGACTTATAGTCCTGGCTTACTATTTTTGTACAGGAAAGCCTGCACTTTGATCCTCCTGTGTGAACTTCTCAGTTATCTGAGGTGACAGCCAGGTACCAACACACCAGGCTTTTTATTGCTTGGGAAGGGTTCTTATGATATATTTTTTGCTTGAGCTCAACTTCAAACTATGATCCTCCTGATTCTCTCCTCCCTGTACTCTGGGTTACAGTTATCAGCCACTGCACTCCTCTGCAAAGGCCACATTCTTACCAAAATATAAATCACTTCAAGTTGGAAGGTAATCTACTTTCTCTTTGATAAAAATGGCATGAAAGAATGCATTTCTAAAGGAAGTTTACAAATCTGCCAATAAAAGGAGATAAATTAATGATGAATATTAACAAAAGCTTTAAGATGTACTCATATATAATCATATATACACATATGTATATATAGATATATAATCATATGTGCATCATTTGTGCTCATATATACTGAAAAAAGCCTCCGTAACTGTCTCAGTCTCTCTCTCTGTCTACTCTCTCATATGTAGGTCCTGAAACGAACTCAGGGCCTGAGTGCTGTCCCTGAGTTTTTGGTTTTGGTTTTGGTTTTGGTGGTGGTGGTGGTTGTTTGGTTTTGTTTTGCTCAAGGTTACTGTTCTACTATTTCAGCTACAGGTTCTACTTCTAGCTTTTATTTTTAGTAGTTTATTGGAGATTAGAGTCTCATGGACATTCCTGCCTCGGTTGGCTGAGATCTTCAGGTCTCAACCTAATGAGTAGCTAGGATTGCGGTCATAAGTCACCGGCACCAAGACAGAAAAATTCTCTTTACTTCACAATTTCTCAAAAGAATACAAATTTGAACAAATGATATCACTTACTATATGTCAGAGTTTTAAAATGTACAGTATAGAGAAATCCTTCAAATAAACAAGAAATAATTAAAGAAGTCCTACCAGTTGAGAGGCTGAGACAATGATAAGATTGATTTTAGCCTACACCACATAACAAGATCCTGTGTCTCAATAAAAATGCAGAGAAAAAAAAGAAAAGTGTAATAAGATTTCTGAGGATAAACATAACAAGCACTCACATTTAAGAATGAAGATCATAAACTGAAAACAATATTGCTTTGAAAATTTTATATTTGTGTGTCTGTATATATGTACAATATGTACATACCTTTAAAATATTTATATTTTTAAGAATTTTCTGTACAAATATATTAATCATAGGACTGTGTATAATGGCACAAAAATGTAAAATACTTTATATATTATTTTATATTGATGTAGAAATGTGCAGTCAATGTACCTAGCAACTCCTAATAATTTATCTATCTAAGAAGGAAGTGGGACAGAGAATGAAATAACTGAAAAAGACAGATAGTAACAGTGCTAAACCATGGAAAAATATATTTTTTAATTTGTTTTTCATTGATTTTCAGAGTAGAAATTTTTCTTTTTTTTTGTTTTTTTGGGGGAGTCCGGTCGTGGGGCCTGAACTCTGGGCCTGGGCATTGTCCCTCAGCTCTTCAGCTCAAGGCTAGTGCTCTACCACTTGAGCCACAGCGCCACTTCTGGCTTTTTTCTTATGTGGTGCTGAGGAATCAAACCCAGGGCCTCGAGCATGCAAGGCAAGTGCTCTACCACTGAGCCACCTTCCCAGCCCCCAGAGTCGAAATTTTTATAAGCACAATATCCAAAAGATTTATTTCCAATTGATTTTTATGAGAGTCCATATTCATATTTGTTTTGGAACTTCCATTTAAAAAGAGTATATAGGAAAGGAATTTTCAAATGCATTTCAAAAGCTTACAAAAGTATTCATGTATTTCTCAGCAATTATACTTTTCAAATGCATCACAAATCAAATACAAGAAATGAACTAATAAATATTTTAATAGTGTGCATAATATATTACATCTCTTATAATAAGTCTAATTTTAGAAGTATACATACAGTGTTGTCACAAATATTTACAGGAACACAAAGGAAGACAGTGAAGGAGACTCAAGGCCTGCACTCTATTCCCAGGAGCTATACTTGGAATACTTAAAACCTTGATACTGCATCTCTTCAAAGTACCAGAGGATAAGTAATTGAATAATGGAATGCACCGTGGTACCTATAAATGCTTCCTACACTTTGCAAATTTTATAGGGAATCATGTCATCTGCCTTATCAGCTGAAACATGAACAAGGGCCAAATACAGTCAACAAATCAAACTGCTGGTCCTCTTCAAACCCAAATAGATTTTACTTGAGCACAGGAAACGAACAGTGGGTTCTCTGTGATTAAAAAAAAAAGGAAACAAATAATCACCCTAAGCCCTCAGCAGAAATCTATACTTGATTACTAGATGTAGAAGTTATTGTAGAAAACTCTAGAATATCTTCACTGGGACATAAGATAAATATTATTTCAAAGCAGGAGAAGGAGGTAATAAAGAGAACTATTTATTATATAAAAAAGTAACAGGATCAGATGAAGAATAAAATGAAATATTTCAGTTCAGGAAAATTAAAAAAATGAAATAGAATAAATCATACACGAATGTTTTAACATGCAGACTTCATCTTATAGTAAGCAATAAAGAAAGGTGTCAAAATTATGAAGGAAAACTTAGGTGTAAAACAGAGAATTATGCAAATTAAAAGTTGTTGCTGTTCCTGAAGGCAGCAATTTTGATGGAGAGAAGAAGGTAGCAGCTACAGTAATTAAGAAAATAATTTTTCATGCTGGAATTTGCAAATTGAATAGGTTCATCACAACACAGAGGAAATCAGTTAATCAGACTCACCGATAAACTTCCTAGATACTTGTTTGGCTTTCCATGAAAGATTAAAGTATCCTAAAAATACCAAGGTAGAAAATCCAGGTTACACATCGAGGAATGGAGCAATGATGGCTTCATATTTTTCTTCTAAAACAGTAGATTGGACAGATAAAAATGTAATGAATGCCATATTCTAACTTTAAAGATTTGTGATATAATAATTTGGTAACTTTCTTGAAAGATATCACTCATATAGAATATGGTGTGCCTCCTAACATGATCACTTTTAAATAGGAATGTTTGATTTATTAATAGAGAGGCACAGTCTGAGAAAATAACAAGGGTTAAAGTAAGTCAAATAATGCTTCATAGTTAAATATTATAAGACAGAAAGGCAATGACAAAAGTCATTCTTCCATGCCCAAGAATGTAGACCAGGCTTTATAGAAGTGGGCATGTTGGAAAGCACTCCAAAATTAGATTGGTAGTGCTTTAACACTATATGGAAAACTGTGCATGTGGACTGCTGTTAAACAGTACACAATTCAGGCACCACACACCTGTAATTCTAGCTACTTAGGAGGCTGAGATGATATGTAGAGATAGTGATTCAAAGCCAGCTCCAGCAGGAAAGTCTGTGAGATTCTCATCTCCAATTAACCATCCATAAAAAGTTGGAAGTGGAGCTGTAGCTCAAGTGTGACAATACTAACCTCAAGCCAAAAACCTCAGGGACAGAATTCATGCCCTGAGTTCAAGCCCCGGGACCAGCACAAACAAACAAAAAACAGTACACATTAAATTCTACTCACTAAAAAATATAAAAGTCTAAGCAACAGTGCGTATACAAACATGCACACGTGCACATACATACGTAAACACACATGCACATACATATGTAGATACACATGTACACAATCGATAAGAAAATTTAAAAAGGAACAATAGAAAGTAGAAAGCATAAAGCAAGATAATATTTTAATAGATAAAACATGAATATGATATGCAAATTTATATAACTATATAAACTGATGTGATATTAAATAAGGAGGAAATTCATCTTTTGCACCAAAAAATTGGAAAAGAAGATATTCAAAATAGAAAGAGAAGCTTTTCAACAGAAAGGTTAATTTAGTCTTCAGAAAATAAAGGAATCTAGGTTAGTATGTTATCCTGACATGACAGCTCCAGTTCATCACCTATTTCTGAATTCACACCACTGGCCTGAAACTCAAAGTGGAGTGACATATCCCATTCCTCCATGAGTGATTGCTTTGAAAAATAAGAATATAAGAGATTTGAAACAAGCAGAAGCTTGACTTGTGACTTGCTAGGGCCTTGATCTCCTGTGCATTTGCCATCACTCTGAGAGCAATCCTATCCAGCCTGCTGGAAGATGAGAGACTGGTATGAAAGAGCTTAAACTGGGGTTGTTGCTAGTCAGCCAAGCTACCTGCTAGCTAGTCAACAGCAGGGGCTACTAGTGAACCCAACAAAAGCAGCAGTGCTCCTTATACAAATCCCTCCTGAATCCACAAATAGGAGCAGTAAGGCTTCACATCAAACACCAAATGGATTACATTTCATTTTTCTTTTCTTTTGCTTTTTATTTCTTTTTTGTATATATTTTTATTGTAAAAATACAGAGGGGTTACAGTTACATGAGTAAGGTGATGAGTACATTTCCTATTGAGCATGGTCACCTCCTCCTTTGTTTTTCCCCTACTATGCCTTCGCTCCCCACTTCTCCAATTCCTCCCTCCCCTGTCCCAAGTTGTATAGTTCATTTTTAATATAGTGTCTTGTACATC